AGCAAAATAGCCAAAATATGCTGGTAGTTCATCTGTAGTACTCTGGATTGAAAACAAATGGAACGTTGACCAGTTTAAACAGTGTATTAAAATGGATGTATGCAGAAGATGTGATAAGAGATCACTCAGGTTGATGGAGTAAAGCAGTGCTAGGGTAGAGACCCTACAACTTTGGGGCAAATTTCCTTCATATCTGCAGGTGAGCCTCCTACTGTCCCAGTCACATTTCAAACCATTCTGCTAAACTATGGAGCTTAAGAATCTGCTGCTCACTCTGTATATAGACTGTATACAGGAAAGATAAGAATTGGCTGAGAAAAATCGAAAGCTATGAGCAAATAGCACTTACGGGAGGAAGTCACCGACAGGGTCAGACCTGAAAGCATGTTTTGGATACAGAGCGGTCCTCACAGGTATAACTCCAGCAATGATGTAATCCCCTGGACTGTAATAATTATTTGAAGATGTCCGTAGGTCTGACAGATCTAGATCTTCCATCATTGCTACCTCAACTGGCAAATGAAGCAAGACTAACAGAAGGATCATTTTAGGCACAAACAAGTGAGAACTTCCTTCAACTGATTTTATGATATTCAGAGCAAGGACAGAAGCATTTGCTAGGAAGGGTACACAAAATCTTCATCCTGTAACTGACTTCTCAGAGGAGGAGCTCGAGGCTGGTTTGGTGCTAACAGAGAAACAAATTTCGGACTAGCCTACCACCTCTGATGGTTTAACTCCCAGCCTTCCTTCTTAATAGCTCAGTATATATATTTATGTTGCTCTGTTTCCGTACTTGGCAAAAAGAATGATCAATGATTCTGGATTCTGATTATTATTATTATTACTGATCTCAAAAGTGACCTCTGGAAAAACCCTATGAGAACACAAATCAATCACAATGTTTTTGATAATTGCAGGGGAGATATAATCACCATCCTCAAAGTTTCATGCTCTCTTTGCGACTGCTTGCGCAGGTGTACGGCAGGAGAAAACATGTTTGCAAAAGTTTGCATCATGCTTTCCTATGGGGCAACTGAGAGGACAATGAACTTTGCTGGTGACCCTTGACTTTAAGCCAATGAGAGGGTAGGACAGGGCTGTAGCACAGACTTTCAGCCCATCTGCCTGAGCATTCAAATCCCTTGCGTCAGTTTCCTTCCAAGACTTCAGAGGAGGGCAAGTTACTTCTCGCCCTCTCTCTAGCTTTCTTTCTCTCTTTCTTCCCCTGCTATTTTTTGACAGCCAATAGCGAGGCCTGGAAACAGATGGAGAAAGGGCACACAAGCACTCTGCTGGCTACCCCCTGATCACTTTCTGCATGCTTGGTCTCCCTAGGACAGCGGTTCTCAACCTGTGGGTCCCCATATCTTGTTGGACTACAACTCCCATCATCCCTGAGCTCTGGCTAGCTAGGGGTGATGGGAGTTGTAGTCCAACAACATCTGGGGACCCACAGGTTGAGAAAGGCTGCCCTAGGAGGTTATGGACTCTCCTTCCTTGGAGGTTTTTAAGCAGAGGTTGGGTAGCCATCTGTCATGGATGCTTTAGTTGAGATTCCCGCATTGCAGGGAATTGGCCTAGATGACCCTCGGGGACCCTTCCAACTCTGCAATTCTATGAGAAAACTGTCCATTTAATCCTACCCTCTGTTTCCTGCTATTTAACTTGTTACTGATCCACAAGAGGACCTTGCCTCTTACTCCATGACTGCTAAGCTTATTCAATAATCTTGGGTGAGTTACTTTGTCAAAAGCTTTTTAAAAGTCCAAGCACACAATATCAACTGAACCACCTCTGTCTATATGCTTGTTGATGCTCTCAAAGAACCACCTCACTAGGCAGTCACCTGATACTAATGTATTTAAGAAGAGTTTGGATTTGATATCCCGCTTTATCACTACCCTAAGGAGTCTCAAAGCGGCTAACATTATTCTACCCTAAGTCTCAAAGCAGCTATCATTCTCCTTTCCCTTCCTCCCCCACAACAAATACTCTGTGAGGTGAGTGAGGCTGAGAGACTTCAAAGAAGTGTGACTAGCCCAAGGTCACCCAGCAGCTGCATGTGGAGGAGCGGAGACGCGAACCTGGTTCACCAGATTACGAGACTACCGCCCTTAACTACTACGCCACACTGGCTACAATATTCATCTCACTGTCTACTATTTAACACCATTTGTGCAACTTGCATTCATTTCTTTCATTGTTGTTAGTCTTCAGGTTTTTAGGAATGTGCTCCACAAATTATTTTTTTGCATCCCTTACTGTCCTCTTGCATGTTTTTAGGGAAAATTTGTGGGTTCCTTTTTGTTCTCCTCATTTGGACAAGGCTTTCATTTTCTAAAGTAAGCCTTTGTGTCTCTAATACTCCCCACACACACACTTTGCTTATCAACCACATAAGGCTAACTCCTGGCCCTGCAGTATACATTATAGCTGAGCTTTTATACAGCTCCCAAACATTTTGTTAGGCAGTGTACATCTGATTCCACATATGTGTTCACCACAGGCATGAACTCAATGCACAGCTCTGGGAGGGTGGAAACTTTTATGTGGAGTCAGGCTGTGCATCTGCTAAAAACATGTGTATACCTTTAGCCCGTATACCCAATGAAGAACTTGTCACACCAGGTAGAAGAAAAAGATTGATTTATTGAACATACATGAAGAAAGACAGCATATATAGGTGCTGCTTCAGACAGCAAGGTTAAAAATATGCAGGCAGCAAATAATCATTAAGCATTTACACACAAAGAATCACTGACTACCAAAAGCCTAGAAAATAAGCAATGCAATTTCTCATAGCCTTATACTGAAAAGAAAGAAGGGAAGGGAAGGGAAGGGTATACCTGATCTTGGAGCAAGCAGGATTTGAGAACTATGCCTCTGGTAAGAATTAAGCTCTCTCCTTCAGAATTCTATGCAGGCAAGGCAACAAAGTCTCTCACCCATTATTTGGCCTAGAAAATTGAGGAGTTGAACTTTGGATTCACCAAGAAGCAAAGGTGGGGTCACATGGGAGCTGGGAATTCCTTGCCTAACCATACTTTGAACCGAAATAACCCCTATGGAGAGGTCAGAGGGCTTCCTTAGTGAGTGAATAGCATTACACCTCTTTTGAAGTCTAAAGTGGCTGTGTTGGGTTTTCTCAGCAACTGTCTATTTACATATATATTGAATTTGAAAGCCCTGCGACCACTAGTCCTTATTGGTTTGACAACATTTACATCTCGCACCAGGCCTTGGGTACCACTTAAGATTAAGTCCAGGGTTACCACCTCTCTGGCTGTTCCATGGCCAATTCTTCTTGGGCACAGCCTGACCTTTAGAGTGCCTAGAAATTGCACTTCTTCGTTGTGACTTGAGCACACATGAATATTGCCTATCTTGCTGTAATACAACTCCCTTCATACCTGACCTTTGGCCAAGCCGACTGGGGCAGCTAGGAGTTGGAGTCTAAGAGCTGAAGTCTAGACACTGGTTCTCTCTGCTGCCTGAACTTAAGGGCTTCACGGTGCCGGGTGAAGTCATATTTGTATGCCTGTTTCTTTTTTTTTTTTTTTTAAATATTTTTTATTGCTTTTTTTCCAGGGTCAAATACATCGTCAGTAACTCAGCAAAAAGCGGTTTTACAGAATAAAGAAAGAAAGATAGAAAAAAGAAAATTTCAAACATTTTTCATGATCCACTGGACTTCCCCACATCCCCAGCGCCCTGCATTCTTTATAAAAAATAAAATTACAGCAAATTAATACCTTGTTTCATGCGTTTTTGTACTTTCATCTGATTATATTTTAGCTTTAGAGTACTTATTGTTAGGTAACTTCTTTCTATCCTCCATCCCTAATATTAGGAACATTGCTCTAAATTTTGAACTTTTCACAATCATAACTTAATTTCCCCCATTTTCAAATCTCCATACTGAAGCATGTTTTTCCAATAACTTAGCAAATTCTCAACATTCATATAACTTATAATGCTTTTGTAGATAGTCCTTAAATTTTTTCCAGTCCTCTTCCACTGCCTCTTCTCCCAGGTCCCGGATTCTGCCTGTCATTTCGGCCAATTCCATGTAGTCCATCAGTTGCGTATGCCACTCTTCCAGCGTGGGTAACTCCTGTGCCTTCCAGTATTTAGCTATAAGGATTCTTGCTGCAGTAGTTGCATAGAGAAAAAAAGTTCTGTCCTTTTTTAACACTCTCTGGCCCACAATGCCCAGGAGGAAGGCTTCTGGTTTCTTGTGAAAGGTATACTTAAATACCTTTTTCAACTCATTATAAATCATTTCCCAAAAAGCCTTCACCTTCGGGCATGTCCACCAGAGGTGAAAAAAAGTTCCTTCAGCTTCCTTACATTTCCAACATTTATTATCAGACAAATGATATATCTTTGCAAGTTTGACTGGGGTCATGTACCACCTGTATATCATTTTCATAATGTTTTCTTTCAGGGCAGTACAAGCCGTAAATTTCATACCGGTGGTCCATAACCTTTCCCAGTCTTCAAACATAATGTTGTACCCAATATCTTGAGCCCATTTTATCATAGCTGATTTGACAGTCTCGTCTTGAGTATTCCATTTAAGCAACAAGTTATACATTCCTGAAAGCACTTTCGTCTTAGGTTCAAGTAGTTCTGTCTCTAATTTCGATTTCTCCACCTGGAAGCCAATTTTTTTGTCCTTTTTAAAAGTTTCTTGTATTTGGGCATAATGTAGCCAGTCTCGCACCTTATCTTTTAATTTTTCTAAACTCTTCAACTTCCAATTGTCTCCGACTCTTTCTATTATCTCGCAATATTTTGCCCAGCCACTCTCCATGTTAAGCATTTTTGGGGCCTTAGCCTCCATTGGTGATAGCCACCTCGGAGTCTTGTTTTCAAGTAAGTCTTTGTATTTGGTCCAGACATTGAACAAAGCTTTCCTGACAATATGGTTTTTAAACAATTTATGAACCTTTACCTTGTCGTACCACAACATATTTGTATGCCTGTTTCAATTCAAGATATTCGGTTACTTCCAGATCATGATGCTTGAGTGGCTGAGCCCTGCAATGGGGGTAGATGGGGTAGACAACAGTTCCCAATTTTTGATAGGTATCTTGTTGCTCTCCTTGATTCATGAAATGAGCAGATGGATCATTCATGACGTATCAGCTCCAGTCAATAGTGGATTTCCCAGGATGGCCCACAGTCTTCCTTCCCTGAGTGATGCTTCCATCCACTGTGCAAAAATGCTAGGATAAAAAGAGTGGAGTTTGGCCCTCAAGCTGTGGAGGCTTCAGTAAAGATCCCTGCTCCCATAATGATTTTTTGTGCAGCAAAAGTTTGCTAGCACAACATAGAAATCAGGTTCCCCCTTGCCACTTGGCTTGGAACAGGTGAGGAACCCCTGGTGTATGGGCAGAACATGGCACTCCAGAATTCTCTTTCTTGACCTCTAGAACTTCCACTAGGGACATGGGTGGTGCTGTGGGTTAAACCACAGAGCCTAGGAGTTGCCGATCAGAAGGTCAGCGGTTCGAATCCCCGTAACAGGGTGAGCTCCCGTTGTTCGGTCCCTGCTCCTGCCAACCTAGCAGTTCGAAAGCACGTCAAAGTGCAAGTAGATCAATAGGTACCACTCCGGCGGGAAGGTAAATGGCGTTTCCGTGCGCTGCTCTGGTTCGCCAGAAGCAGCTTAGTCATGCTGGCCACATGACCCAGAAGCTGTATGCCGGCTCCCTCAGCCAATAAAGCGAGATGAGCACCGCAACCCCAGAGTCGGTCACGACTGGACCTAATGGTCAGGGGTCCCTTTGCCTTTACTAGAACTTCCACAGGCCACACCTCTCTCTGGCTCTTGCCCTGTTACCTCCTTGGGTGCTTTAGCTTGGCTGGAATGTGACTCCAAGCAACTTTTGTATTTGGGTTTTTTAAAAAAATTAATAAATGGGTGTTATTCATTTAAGCCTTCTTCAGGGGGTCTATTCTGAGGAAGACACCCAACATTTCCCTTTGCTCTTTTTCCAAGCAATTTTTTTTAAAAGAAATGCAGCACTTACATCTACCACCAAGAGCCCAAGGAAGCAGAGGAGGAGGCCACCCCAAATCATCCGAACCATATTCTCAGTGCTGAGTTTTTCCTGGGTTAATGATCTTGCTCCTACAGTAAATGTGGAGGTGGGAAAAAAGGGATATTGAATCAGAAAAGGTGAAAAACAAGAAACATAACACGTCTTCCTTAAAATACCTTGGGTGCTTTAGCTTGGCTGGAATGTGACTCCAACCAGCTTTTGTTTTTGTTTTTGTTTTTTTTTTAAAAAAATGGGTGTTATTCAGTTAAGCCGTCTTCAGGGGGTCTGTTCTGAGTAAGACTGAGCCGAAAGCCATCCAGTAATTTTTATTTAATTACATAAAGAAGATAAAGCAGAATAAAAGAAAGAAAAATACTGTTAATGTGATTGGTTTAAAACAAATATCCATAAGTTAGAGCAGGCGGGGTAGCTGGGGTAGCAGGCTTGTTGGTTTTTGAATGTCTGGTGTAGATTTTTTCAATTTCGTTGTTCTGTATGGGACAATGACAATAAAGATTATCGTATCATTATAGGTGAGTCAGAAGGATTATACAGTGGAACCTCGGTTTTCAAACATATTCTGTACCGGAAGACCATTCAATTTCCGAAACGTTCAGAGACTGAGGATCAATGGGCGGTCAGTAAAATCCATTGAAAAAAATGGAGAAACACGCTGTCAGGGCTGCCTCAGGTCCCAGCTCACAAGAGACCAACGCCAAGTCCACTTTATTTACAAAAGTCTTTATTGAAGTACATTGTTTGCTCCACAGCCGAGGCGCGCAGCCCCACGTCTGTTACGCTTAGACCGCTGAAGTCTCCTCTGAATCAGTCCCGCCTCTACACCAGTTTAAGAGGCTTGTGCTGGTCCACCTCTTCCTGTCCTTTCTTTTCCGCAGGGTCTTTCTGCCCCCCTGGGTTCCTTCCCTCCTGGATTCCCCTGACGCTGAATCCCCAGACGCCTGCTCCCCCCTCCTCCGTGCTTTGGGACCAGGCTCCTCCTCCGGGCTCTCCGCATTTCCGCGCGCCTCCACATTCGAACTTGGCGCGCGTTCGCTACCTCTGACCTTCCTCTTGACAGTTACACTACTCTCTGTACTACTCTCCGCCCCTTCCGGCAGAACGTCTTGCCCCGATCTCCTTCCCCTCTCTGCTTCCTGCTCTGCTTCGTCTGTCACACTGGGAATTCCCCCCTCTTCACTCCGTTCCGGCGGGGAAGCCGGCCCCGATCTCCAACTCCCACTCGGGGTTCCCCTGCTGCTCCCCTGCTCCTGACTGGTCCCCCCTGTGGCTAACCTTGGCCTGACCAGGGGCGCCCCCTTTTGGGAATCCTCCGATTCACTTGAAAGACTCATGGAAACCCTCAAGTCATTGTCATCCTCCTCCTCCTCGTTCCGGGATTCTTCCCCCTCGCTCTCAGTCTCCTCCCTCATCTGTGCCTCTCTCCCTGAACCCCTGACACACGCCTTGGAAGCCATTTGACTTCTGAGGTGAGTGAAAAAATGGAAGCAATTACTTTGGGGTTTTCGGCATTCAGGTTCCGAATTGTTCATCAATGGAGACAATCGAGAACTGAGGTTCCACTGTACAGTGTCAGGATATCAATGAGGGTTCACAAGTATACCTTTACGTTTGCATCTGAATTTTTCCTGGGTTAATGACTCTGCTCCTATGGCAGATGAGGAGGTGAAAGAAATGGGATATTGAATCAGAAAAGGTGAAAAACAAGAAACATATCACGTCTTCCTTAAAAACAAGCCAACATCAAGACATGGTGTGTGAAGCTGGCTTGTTTTACTCAGCTGTAGTTGGGATGATCTGCCCTTTTTCTGGCTTCGGACCAGAGGTACTGCTAAATATTTACAGGGTTCAGGGCAGAAGCCCATGTCAGGGACTGGGCAGAGGAAGAATGGTGGAGACCACCTCCCCATCCTGACCCTTCCAGAGAAGAAGAAGACAGTTCAGAATTACAACAGGGGTTTGAGGGAGGTCACAGCTCAGAGGAAGATGAGGGGGAAAGCTGGGAAATAATGGGAGAGGAGGAAGAGTCAGAGCCGGAACAACTGGCTGACACATTATCACTAGAAAGCATTCCAGACCCACCATCTCCCAAAACCCAGTGGGCCTTAAAAGTGGGAGAGCAAAGGGCTCAGAAGCAAAGGGCGCTCAGCGCCACCCATAGAAGAGATGGCGAATGAAAAGGGGGAGGGGAGATTTACTTGGGGGCAACACCATTATTCCAAGAGGCTGTGTTCCCAACCCTCTCTCTGTAAATATTGAATAAATAGCAGGTGGTTAGGACCTTTCCTTATCTTATCCATTACTGGCAACCTGTTATGGGGGTTGGTTCCTCTCCTGCCTGATGGCCTGTGATGACATCCCCCTTGGGGTCCCTTGTAACTCTACAATTCTACGACTTGACGAATAACATTTCCTATATGTTAAGTTTCATATGAATATAAGCTTCTGGGAAATTAAGATGGTTGAATGGGGTCTTGCCAGCCCTGTGTTTTACAGTGCAGCCAGCTGCCCTGTGTTTTGTTTTTAAGGAGAAACCTGGGACTCAGAGATGAGAAGAAGACAGAGTCCCTACTAGAGAAGAATGGCAGATTAAGTTGATGGACCATGCCGAATTGGCAAAAATGACAGGAAGAATAAGAAATCAGGAGGATGAAAATTTTAACAAAGAATGGGAGAAAGATATAATTTGCCTTAGAAACCATTGTAAACAATAAAAATTATTAGTAGGATTGGAATAACAACTGTAGTTTAATGTTGAATTTGGGGGTATAATGGAGATTTAAAAGATTTGGATTAATACATAAGATGCAGGAGGAAAAAGTTAATATAATGACCCACAAAGGGGAGGAGGAAAGTTCAGGAGATTCTTCGGAATTCTCTTTCTGTGCTGATTGTTTGATAATTGTTTGTAAATTTTTAAAATCTGAAAAACTAAATAAAAAGCAGAAAGGAAAAGAAAATGTGTGGCAAGGATGTTGTGGGGTTTGTAGCTTTCTTGCAAAGAGAATGACATAAGAACAATAAGTGGGGGCTGTTGGGTTGTTGTTTTTATTTCTATTAGGTATTTTGTGGTTTTCTATCCTGATTTTATTCTGTGAACGGCCCTTAGACCCCCTGGGTATAGGGCAGTATATAAATTCAATAAAGGAGGAGGAGGAGGAGGAGGAGGAAGAAGAAGAAGAAGAGGAAGAAGAAGAGGAAGAGGAAGAGGAAGAGGAAGAGGAAGAAGAATAAAGCTGCTAGATTGCTCCCCCACCCCCTAGATCAGGGCGTCTCAGCATCTAGGAACTGGCTGTACCAGATGCTGGACCTCAGGTTATAATTGTTGGACAACCACCAAAATAGATTTTGTGAAGGGAGACTTGTTTCAGTTCTATGCGAATAGAACTGAAACAGTGGCATTCTCAGTCATACCTTATGCCTCACTGAATTTAGTGGAGTTAAAAATGCATAGGATTGAAGCCCTGGAGATCACATCAGGACAGCAGGCAATCATTCCAAGCATGAAGCACCCTAAATATTTATTTATGCTCATTGCTGTCCATTACCTTCAGTCACGGTGAGATTCACTGTCGCATGCAGTCTTAAATCCAAGGATTTAATTGTCGCGCGGTACATTCCCGCATCGTGAAGCCCCACGCGATGAAGCACTAGCGTGCCATTCTTGAGAACGTCTGCCCGCTGCTGATACATCTCATCCACCAGTTTGTTAGTATTACATTCTTTCCCCCACCATTTGAGGGCTGTTCCACTGCAATTGTCTACAATGTATGCAAGGATAAGGACATTTCTGTTGCCGGCAATAAAAGTCCATGTGATGTGGAGGAATTCCCAGGAAGGACTGGGGGGCTGAAGGGAGAAGGGTAACTGAACAGTCTGGTTGATGGTAGCGTTGACCCAGCTGTGAGCTGAGGAGATGGGCACTGCTGATGCCATGCCTGGAAGAAACAGAGAAGGAAAATGCATGTGTTGTCTGCTATACATAAATGGTAAGGTAAAGGTAAAGGGACCCCTGACCATTAGGTCCAGTTGTGGCCGACTCTGGGGTTGCGGTGCTCATCTCACTTTACTGGCTGAGGGAACCAGCGTACAGCTTCTGGGTCATGTGGCCAGCATGACTAAGCCACTTCTGTCGAACCAGAGCAGCGCACAGAAATGCCATTTACCTTCCCGCCGGAGTGGTACCTATTTATCTACTTCCACTTTGAAATGCTTTCGAACTGCTAGGTTGGCAGGAGCTGGGACCGAGCAATGGGAGCTCACCCCATCGCAGGGATTCGAACCACTGACCTTCTGATCCGCAACCCCTAGGCTCTGTGGTTTAACCCACAGCGCCACCTGCGTCCCATACATAAATGGTATTTGTGGCTAATACCCATTGAAAGCCTTATCCTCGACATATTTATCTAATCCCTTTCAAAAGTCACCCCTGTTGGTGGCCATCATCATGTTTTTCTTGGAACATCTGTACAGAAAAAGCCTGTCAGAGAAGGGGGCCCTGCCCAGTAGCTGATAAGATAATCTAGTGCTTTTGTGAAGAAACAGCATTTTGGAGAAAGGCAGAGAGTCTGAGACTGAGAAAGAGAGGAAGATGTATGGGAGGGTATGCAAAAAATCCTATGACACTGGCTGTGCCACTGAGACAGCATCCACATCAGTGCTAAATAATGTATTATTTATACCCTGCCCATCTGGCTGGGTTTCCCCATCCACTCTGGACAGCTCCCAACAGAGTATTAAAAACACGCTGAAACATCCAACATTAAAAAACGTCCCTAAACAGGGGTGCCTTCAGATGTCTTCTAGAAGTCAGATAGTTGTTTATTTCCTTGACATTTGATGGGAAGGTGCTCCACAGTGAGGGCGCCACTACCCAGAAGGCCCTATGTAATCGCATAGAAAGCCACCCACAGGGAAAGTATTCATCCCTGACATTTCTCACCATGTGAGGGGCATTAAAAAAATAGCAGGTGTGAAGAAGAAGAAGAAGAAGAAGAAGAAGAAGAAGAAGAAGAAGAGGAGGAGGAGGAGGAGGAGGAGGAGGAGGAGGAGGAGGAGGAGGAGGAGTTTGGATTTGATATCCCACTTTATCACTCCCCTTCAGGAGTCTCAAAGCAGCTAACATTCTCCTTTCCCTTCCTCCCCCACAACAAACACTCTGTGAGGTGAGTGGGGCTGAGAGACTTCAGAGAAGTGTGACTGGCCCAAGGTCACCCAGCAGCTGCATGTGGAGGAGCGGAGACGCGAACCCGGTTCCCCAGATTACGAGACTACCGCTCTTAACCACTACACCACACTGTCAGAGCCTATATACATGTCTTTATGCATGGCTGCCCATTATAAACATTTTTGCACACTAATATATGCATTTTGCAGTCTTTTTATGTGGCACGCCAACTCAAAATTCAGAAAAGTATAAAACTTCAAGAGTAGGTGTATTTTGGTCCATGTGTTGATTCAGCGGGGAGGATTCATCTAATGAAACTTGTCATCAGAAGCCCTGCGAAAGGTCTTCAACCCATGCAAGAGAGATTTCTCCCTTCCTCCCCTCGTCCATCCCACAAATTTGGCCTAGGATGGGTCAAGAGAACTCCCAGAACCAGAGACATAACTGGGCCCCCTTGCTTATTTGGCATGGAGATATATAGGTGCCTCCAAAGCTGAGAGAGACCATGGACCAGAAACTCAAAGAGTTTCCTTTTTGTTGCCTTTCGTGCTCCGCCAATGACTTTCTAAACTGAGGGCCATTTTTGCGCCCTTCCTGGGCCTGCGCCCTTGGCAGCCACCAACCTATCTAACTCCTAGGGACGCCCCTGCTCAGAACAGCACACAGGGGGGAAGGGATCATTCTGTTTGGCAAGCTGAATTGCTTGTGCAGATGGAAGATTTGATATAATTCGCGATGTTGAATTCCACCCAGGGTGTGGGGTGATCTGCTTTGGGTTTTCTAAAGGAGAACAAAGTGTCTAAACTCACTGCCATTCGTTTGGTTCTCCTGCCCTTCAGAAGCTCACCCCAGCAGCCTCACTATCCCATTTGTAGAACGCTTATAGCAATAACCACCCATCTTGCCGGCTCTTCTGCCCAGCGTTGTCCCCAAAGAACCGACTTCCAAAGCACAATCTGCTTTTGCTTTTACTCACCTGAGAATGCCCAGAAGAATGCCACACTGATCAACATCCTGGAGGGTCGTACAATTAGATACCGCACCAATTCTGAAATCATACCCGTCTCAAACCTCCAGCAACTGAACTGGTTCCTTAATTGAATGTTTCAAAATTGTGTCTCTCATTTTTCTTCTACGTGGTAAGTGAAAGATCTGGTCTCTGGAAAATGAGAGAAGCAAGCAGCTCTGGTGTGATGAGACCACTCGAGATAACACGATCAGCAAAGGATGTGGTCTAGCAGGGTCAGGTACCTGCTGCACAATACATTTAGGCTGGGCAGCTAGGAAGAGAATAGAAACTTAACTTGCACCATTTCAGAGAATTATGGCCTTGAAGCATAAACCGAGGGGGAGGGCGACAGCTCGGAAAAGTGGTAAGCAGAAGGCAGATGAGGAATAGAAACGTCACACAGAAACCGCAGTCTTGATAATGTATTAAATTAGGGTTGGTTGCTTGGTGAATGGGACGTATACAGCTGTGTGTGTGCAAGAAGGGGACTGCCCAGAGGACACTCAGTGTTCTACCTCTCTCGCCCTGACCTAGCCACTGTGATCCACACGACGGTCACCTCCAGACTGGATTATTGTAACTCGCTCTACGTGGGGCTGCCCTTGAGACTGACCCAGAAACTCCAGCGGGTGCAGAATGCCGCAGCGAGACTCCTTACGAGGTCTTTGCTGCGAGATGACATTCACCCGGTGCTATACCAGCTGCACTGGCTCCCGGTGGAGTACAGGATCAGGTTTAAGGTGCTGGTTTTAACCTTTAAAGCCCTATACGGCCTAGGACCCTCGTACCTATGGGACCGCCTCTCCTGGTATGCCCCACAGAGAAACTTATGGTCTTCAAATAAAAACATCTTGAAGGTCCCAGGCCACAGAGAAGTTAGGCTGGCCTCAACTAGAGCCAGGGCTTTTTCGGTTGTGGCTCCGATCTGGTGGAATGCTCTGTCACAAGAGACTAGGGCCCTGCGGGACTTGACATCTTTCCGCAGGGCCTGCAAGACAGAGCTGTTCCACCAGGCCTTTGGCCAGGGCACAGCCTGACTCCCTCCCTCGGCAATCTTCGCAGAGCTCTGGCCCAATGGTTGCCAGTGGCTTGAATTAATTAATTTTATAATGAACGATTTTAGAGTGCTGTTTATGCTGTACTTTTGTACTGTTTTATTGTTGTTAGCTGCCCTGAGCCCGGCTTCGGCTGGGGAGGGCGGGATATAAATAAAATTATTATTATTATTATTATTATTATTATTATTATTATTATTATTATTACTTGCCTGCTTCTTCAAATGGCAAGATGTTCTAGGAGTGCAGCCTTTAACCAGGGTTGTTTTCCTCTCCAAAAAGGTCACCGGAGGCTTGTGACAAGACTCCCTTTGACACTGGACAAGGACCTTTGCCTACTGGCTTCCAGGTCCTGAGGAATATTGCAGGTGGAGGATGGATAGGGATGGGAAATCACATGGGGACAGGAGATTTAGCAGTTTGAGTCCACAATCATTCATAGCATCCCAGAGGAAATGGGGGTTAAGGCTGGGAGATGCACACCGTGACTTTAAAACAAAAACAAAATAAAAACCGATCCCTAGCCTCGCTGCACTATATGGGAAGGTTTCAGGAGGGAGAGCAGTGAGAGGGAATTGTACATTTTGTCTTCCCTGCTTTCCAGAAAGCTGCCCATCCTAGCTATACAGTCTTACCTCAGGTTACAGACACTTCAGGTTGCGCGTTTTTGGGTTATGGACGCGCCGAAACCCGGAAGTACTGGAACAGGTTACTTCCGGGTTTCAGTGCTCGCACATGCGCAGAAGCACTAAATCGTGCTTTGCGCATGCACAGAAGTGCAGAACCACGACCCGCACGTGCACAGACACGGCGCTGCAGGTTGCGAATGTGCCTCCCGCACGGATCACGTTCACAACCTGAGAGTCCACTGTATAGCAATTAGTCAGGTATGTTTGGGATTGATAGACAGCCAGTGGGGAAATGTTCCTGCATCATCATCATCATTTTTTATTTGTATGCTGCCTTTCCACAGTTAAAAAACAATGCTCAAGGTGGCTTACAGCATAACATGATTTAGAAAGGTAAAGGTAAAGGTACCCCTGCCCGTACAGGCCAGTCGTGTCCGACTGTGGGGTTGTGCGCCCATCTCACTTAAGAGGCCGGGGGCCAGCGCTGTCCGAAGACACTTCCGGGTCACGTGGCCAGCGTGACAAGCTGCATCTGGCGAGCCAGCGCAGCACACGGAACGCCGTTTACCTTCCCGCCGGTAAGCGGTCCCTATTTATCTACTTGCACCCGAGGGTGCTTTCGAACTGCTAGGTTGGCAGGCACTGGGACCGAACGACGGGAGCGCACCCCACCGCGGGGATTCGAACCGCCAACCTGACAATCGGCAAGTCCTAGGCGCTGAGGTTTTACCCACAGCGCCACCTGCATCCCTAACATGATTTACATAATTACAAAAGTCATAAACAATAAATAAACCACGTCAGAAAAATACACAACCAAATGGGAAACAATTTCCACATAAATCAAAACCTAAAACTAAGAATACAGCATTAATGTCACCGTTTAAAATGACATAGGTAAAAAATAACAGCAATTTAAACAAACAAAAAGAAAACAAAATGAAGCCCTCTCTGCCCAGCAGCAGCAGCAGCAGCAGCAGCAGCAGTCCTTTATAGAGCCCATCAGACCCCGCCCTGGGCCAGGTGTTGAGTGGCAGGACTTCCTAATATATAGATACCCAGTTTTAACCCCAGTCTTCCACAAGGCACCTGGAGGCCTGAGCCTATTTCTGACTGTTTATCTATACATGATCATGTATAGTGATCATGTATCTCACAGCCTGCAAGACAAGGTGGCAGGGTAGGGTAGCACAGTTGTCACAGCACTAGGGTGGCAGGATAGCTCTGGACAAGTACATTGCTCCAACAAGCTAGGAAGTCAATGATGGCTTTCCAGCCTCTGCTCCAACTGGCCCCTTGGTGAACTAGTCTCTTAAAGGCTCAACCCACCAGGCTGAAGACAGATACATCTCGTTTCCTATCTGGTGTGTTCCCTGCACCATTGGGCTGGTGAGCTAGTGTGGAAAGCCTTTGGTTTCCCTGTGATGGATTTGGGTCTGGTTCTATAGGCCCTGGTACTCTGGGAACTGGTTCAGTGGATTCTTGCCTACCAGGCTGAGGTTCAGGGATCCCTTTATTACCAGCATCAGATTCAGGTTCAAGAATCTAATCTGTCTCCCCAGCTGTGGCCTCTGACTGCAGCTATCCTGGCTGCTGCTGCTGGACTTCAGGTTTGTGATATCATGCTACTCCATTCCTAATGTAGATCTTCGCTCACCCTTTTTCCCCTAGCAGGAAGGGCACCATTTTGTGGTTCAGCTCAGGTGTCAAAATGTCTTGGGCTGGACCTGCTCTCAGCTCATTTTGTGGAGACATATGGGATTTTATTCATGAGTGACCATGGTATCTTGTGTTCACAACTAATCACAAGTTTGTTTCTTTTTGCAACAGAAGTAAGCCTTTTGTTATTACTTGAAACAGAAGAAGCTTTTAGTTTTGTTTCCCCCAGTTCCTCAATTTGTTTCTGGTCTTAAATTTAGTTTTCACCATTTCTGCATCAGTTTGCAATTTTGTATATATGTATATATATAAATCTACACGAGGAAGTCATACACGTGTCTGCACATTTTCACTAACATATGCATGTTCATATATAGTTTTGTCACTTTCCCTAACAGAATGCATTTTCTCCATGCTTCTTTCCCTGGTATACTTTCTGCATGCATTGCTGTTGCTGTTTTAGAAAACAGGAGTTGCAAAGTGCAAGTTTCTGGATGTATTGATGAAATGATTACTGTCATTTGCTGAATTGAGCAAGACAACAAAAATATCAAAACACTGGCTACGCTGGAGGCGTCTAATGGGAGTTAGAGCCCAGCAACATCTGACGGATACCACATTTACTTCTTACCTTTGACCTGTGAAACCATGTACTGTTTCCATTTATCTGAATAACATGCATCTCAGCCATTGTCTGTATCTGGTGCTGCAGTCAGTACCTTGGCAGCCACAGTTGGGTTAACACAGGGCTACCAGCTCATCCCTCTGGGTCTCAATAAGCAGTAAGAAGACTATAAAAATGACCCACTTTTGGGAGGCTATTTTAAGAAACCTTGGTGATTATTAGCCCTTGAGCCCACTTATTGAAATGGAAACTTGTTTTTATTATTAACACACACAAAAACGTCACCTAGACAATATCCTGCCATGACAGCATTGTATCTCCTGTGCAATCAACAAAATATCACAAATGTTCAAGCCACAATAAAAATGGAGGAAATCACATAGGTTGTCTGCTGAGAGGCACAATTATTCACAGGCTTTTCTGCACCAGCAAAGACACCTAAATTCTTGCGGGCACAAGCACAACTTGCACTGAACGTTTTCTTCTGCAGACACACAAAGTTTATTAATAGCCACATACCAACATCCTGTTTCTTTGTCATGCCCAGAGAGGAACCAAGAGAAAGACAAGAAGGACTTGGCTTTTGCTCTTTGGTAGCATAAGAGCAGATGTAGGGGACATTTTCCAGCCCTAGGACCACATTTGCTCATGGGCAAGTTTTGAGGGCCACATTCCAGTGGTGGGTCTGGTAAAGGTGGTTGTGGCCACCCATCCCACACCATAACCCAGGCATAGGCAAATTTGGCCCCCCAGATGTTTTGGGACTACAATTCCCATCATCCCTGACCACTGGTCCTGTTAGCTAGGGATGATGGGAGTTGTAGTCCCAAAGCATCTGGAGGGCCGAGTTTGCCTATGCCTGCCATAACCCATCCTCTGTCCAGGCAAGCAAGAAGTACACTGATAGTTCAAGGACACATCCCATCAAGGTAAAACCACCAGAGGAGAGAGCAGATCAGGACCCTTGAGAGTTGTGCCCTGGGGAAGGTGCATGAGCTAAGCCCTTTGAAGATCCAGATAGAAATTCCCCATCCTTTGTATTAGAGATGTTGTTTTTGTTTAGTCGTTTATTCGTGCCCAA